AGCCAACAAGAATGTGCCTTACATGTCTGGTTCTAAAATCAGTGAGCAAATAAACCAGTGCACATGTATACCCTTAAAAAAAACAAATGATTGAATACTGTAAATGTAAGGTTTTAAATAAGTTCAGCTTTATTCATGCCTCAAGTCTTAGGCTCTACCACCTTTGACCAAATTTGGTTTCTTCCAATCACAAAAAGATTGAGATAGCAAAAGCCACATGATAAAATTGTCTCTTTCAGAGAAGAGTTCCTAAGTCAGAACCTGCAGAAGATGGACTGATTTATATTCCTGTGTCGAGATCAAACAGGCTGCGGAGCTGCACTATAACAATCACTGCCTGCTGCTGGATGATGGTATCATTGCTAGGAAAGAGAAGCAACAGGGCCGGCCTGCAGGTACAGGGAGCAGAGGAAGGGTTGGAGCTGAGCAACAGCAAGTACATATGGTGCCTATGAGTGTACTCATGCAATATTGTCATTATTATTATTGATAAAATCACGCTAAATGTGGATTTAGACCGTGAGAATATATAACATTAACTGACTCAATATATAGCACTCATAGTTCAACCTTTACAAGTTAATCCCATTGAGCCTCAGGGACTCATTTACAAGAGAGACCTGAATAATGGTACATTATTCAAATGTGTTAAAGTGGGTTGCTGTAAACAATGCTGTTTTCTTCTCTTTTGTATTTTCTAAAAACCTTAGTGCTCCAATATAAAGATATATTTCAGTTTTGTTCACAAAATAAGCCACAGGTGTAGCTGTGGTGTTGTTCATGCAGTCAGCCTTGAATTAATGAATATCTTAAGAAGAGTTATCACTTTTAGTATGAAGACAAACAGAATAACTGAGCATTAATCTTGGGCTATTGTTCACGTCACTAAAGGTGTAATAACAAATATGATTAAAGTTTGTTACAAAACTGATTAGTCTGAAATTGTTGCAATTGTTCACATTACAGTAGACCCCGGAAAATGGTGGGGTTATGTTCTTAGAGCATCTGCGAATTGTGAAAAACTGTAAATTTTGGATGCTGCATCAGAATTGTTTATCGCCCAGTACATTAGCACATGCATGGATTTTGCTTTGGGGTCCCAGTGCTACACAAATGTTTTAAATTAAATAATAAAGTCCACATTCACAAAAATGTGAATGGCTCCACACACACATGATGTGGTCGGACAGTGTCAGTTGTGTGCTCCACATCAGTACCCGGAGGAATTTGTCGACTAAGATGAATGACGTGGACTCACAGGAGAAGTAAAAGAGCTGACAGTTTATGGCGAAGGATTCCAGGTCAGAGAACAGTGTTATTACACACCAGCTACTGTGTTTGAGGGTTTTGTTCAGTTTCTTAGCTGTTCTTAGGACTGTGCTCTTCTGGACAGAGATCTGAGGTTGTTCCTGGGATCTGTTGGTACCACTCTTCCAGTTTGGGGGTCACAGCACCATGTGCTCCAGTGACCACTGGGATGACTGACACCTTGACTCTCCACAATTTCTATATTTGCTCTTTCAGATCTTGGTATTCCTCGAGCTTCTCGTACTCCTTCTTCCTGATGTTACAGTCACTTGCTACATATGTCACCACTACCTTCTTCTCTTGCTTGTCAACCGCAATGTCCAGTTTGTTAGCCATCACCTGTTTGGTCTGGATCTGGAAGTCTCACAGTACCTTTGTTCTTCCATTCTCCACAAACCTTGTTTGCATCTCCCACTTTGACAGTGGGACCTCCAGTTCATCTTGGCACAGATGTTCCTGTATATTATCCCAGCCACTTGGTCATGGTGCTCCATGTATGCTTTGCCTGCCAAGATCTTACTAGCTGTTTCTTTTTTTTTTTTTGTTACCTTTTCCTTTTAGCCATCCTATTTGTAAAAAAACCAAAAAAAAAACCTGTAGCATGACTTTTTATAATTGTTTATTGTTGTTGCTGTTGTCCATTGTTGTCATCTTTCTTTGTTGAAATCAGGTCTCTCTTGTAAATGAGTCCTCGAGGCTCAATGGGATTTACCTGTCTAAATAAAGGTTGATTGGTTGATCTTACACCCTGCTATTATGTGTTGGACTGTCGCTGGGGCATCTTTGCACAACTTGCATCAAGAGAGTTGTCTGGTATGGTAGACCATGATCTTCATTGCTCTTGTGCTGAGGGCCTGTTCTTGTGCTCTCTGTGCTGTCCTTCAGTCCAGACATCTCTAGCCACTGGATTTGTTGATATTCTACTTCCTCAATCTGCCAGTGGTACATGCCGTGCAGGGGTCTATCTTTCCACGATGACGCCTCTTGTTTGTCTTCTTTCACATTGGTTTTCTATTGCTGCATGACAAATTCACTCATTGGAGGGAGGGGGGGGGGGGGGGGCTTTCCTCCCGGTGTACTCCAGGATCTTTCATCCTCTATAGTGGATGCTCATATGCTGGACTTGGGGGTGAAACCCTCCATGCATTGTGAGGAGCTTTTGAGTCTTGAAGTCAGTGTTTTCCTTTGGCCAGATTATTATACAAACCGGATTCCAAAAAAGTTGGGACACTAAACAAATTGTGAATAAAAACTGAATGTAATGATGTGGAGATGGCAAATGTCAATATTTTATTTGTAATATAACATAGATGGCAGCTCAAAAGTTCAATCTGAGTAAATGTAACATTTTAAAGGAAAAATATGTTGATTCAAAATTTCACAGTGTCAACAAATCCCAAAAAAGTTGAGACAAGTAGCAATAAGTGGCTGGAAAAAGGAAATTGAGCATATAACGAACAGCTGGAAGACCAATTAACACTAATTAGGTCAATTGACAACATGATTGGGTATAAAAAGAGCTTCTCAGAGTGTCAGTGTCTCTCAGAAGCCAAGATGGTAAGAGGATCACCAATTCCACCATTGTTGCGCAGAAAGATAGTGCAGCAATACCAGAATGGTGTTACCCAGCGTAAAATAGCAAAGACTTTTAAGTTATCATCATCAACCATGCATAACATCATCAAAAGATTCAGAGAATCTGGAACAATCGCTGTGCGTAAGGGTCAAGGCCGTAAAACTCTACTGGATGCTCATGATCTCCGGGCCCTTAAACGTCACTGCACCTCAAACAGGAATGCCACTGTCAAGGAAATAACAGAATGGGCTCAGGAATACTTCCAGAAAGCATTGTCAGTGAACACAATCCACTGTGCCATCCGCCGTTGCCAGCTGAAACTCTACAGTGCAAAGAGGAAGCCATTTCTAAGCAAGCTCCACAAGCTCAGACATTTGCACTGGGCCAGGGGTCATTTAAAATGGAGTGTGGCAAAATGGAAGACTGTTCTGTGGTCAGATGAGTCACGATTTGAAGTTCTTTATGGAACAATGGGACGCCATGTCATCCGGACCAGAGAGGACAAGGATAGCCCAAGTTGTTATCAACTCTCCGTTCAGAAGCCTGCATCACTGATGGTATGGGGTTGCATGAGCGCTTGTGGCATGGGCAGCTTGCATGTCTGGAAAGGCACCATTAATGCAGAGAACTATGTTCAGGTTCTAGAACAACATATGCTCCCATCTAGATGTCATCTCTTTCAGGGAAGACCCTGCATTTTTCAACACAATAATGCCAGACCACATTCCGCAGCAATCACAAAATCATGGCTACGTAGGAGAAGGATCCAGGTACTGAAATGTCCAGCCTGCAGTCCAGATCTTTCACCTATGGAGAACATTTGGTGCATCATAAAGAGGAAGGTGCGACAAAGAATGCCCAAGACGATGGAACAGTTAGAGGCCTGTATTAGACATGAATGGGAGAGCATTCCTATTTCTAAACTTGAGAAACTGGTCTCCTCTGTCCCCAGACGTCTGTTGAGTGTTGTAAGAAGAAGGGGGGATGCCACACAGTGGTAAGAATGGACTTGTCCCAACTTTTTTGTGATTTGTTGACGCCATGAAATTTGGAAACAACAGATTTTTCCCTTAAAATGATACATTCTCTCAGTTTAAACTTTTGATCTGTGATTTGTGTTCTATTCTGAATAAAATATTAGATGTTGGCACCTCCACATCATTGCATTCAGTTTTTATTCACAATTTGTTTAGTGTCCCAACTTTTTTGGAATCCGGTTTGTACCTGCTGGGTATCTGATAGCTGCATAGTTGTTGGTAACAAGGGTTGACAAGAAATTCATTAAGGTGGCCATTGCCTCACTGGTACTCCTTTGGTGCGGCCCCTGATTAAAAAACAACAACAACAACCGTTCTTAAATTACTTTCCAGTCAGACAGAATGTTATCCCACTTGTCATGTAAAATTGAACAAGTGAAAGATCTGCAGTCTTGAACTTTATACAAAATAAAGTTTAAATCTTTTTTTTAAATTGAGTGCAACTTGGAGCTCATTCCACACAAACAAAAAGCTTGGGGGGAATCTCTGCAGCATGTTAGTTTACATGTGAGTGTGATTATGTGGAGGTGAATGGCGGGGTGTCTGAGGAGGAGGAGGAGGAGGAGGAGGAGGAAGGGCCAGCTGAGATGTTGCGACGTCACTCTGACGGACTGGGCTCCAGGTTTGAGGCTCAGTCTGCGTCCAGCTCAGAGGAGGAGAGAGGAACGTTCGCTCCGCGTCCTTCTGTCCAACGGTGGCCTCGCGGGCACAACAAAAGACGAACAAACTGCACGAGCCCCGGGCGCGAGCTCGGCTCCACACGGCAGCTAGCTCGATGCTTCTCACCTCAGCCTCCTGCTAGTCTCCTTTTGTGGCGGAGGCTGCCCATGCAGCCAAGGAGGAGGACCCCGTAAGCAACCCGCAGGCTGGGAGAAGCCTCGTTCATTTCCCTTTGACACCGACAAGAATCTGTCTCTCCTTTTTTTCCACGGACCGAGGAGCATCTCTTCGGCTTCCACGTCGTCTCTCCGCCTGCCTGTCTGTCTCTGCGCCTGTCTGTCTGCAACCTCCGGCTCTGACAGGAGCGGAGGAGCGCTGGATGTGTGGGATTCTCCTCCGGGTTTTCTAGGCGACGGACGATGTTGCGCATCTCGGCCACCGTGTTGGCGGCGGGGTTGCTCCTCCTGGGATTCTTGCACAGTTTGGAAGCGGTCTCTCCCGCCAGGGCTGTCGATGGTGAGTTAAAAAAAACATCAGACAGAGTCCGGCTTGAGATGCTGAGAGAATCAAACTCCAGGTTTTGATCTTGTTCATGCAGGGAGAGTAGACGGGGACAATTAAAGCTGTCTTTGTCTCTGTCTCTCCCTCTGGAACAGGAAGATTGCAGAGTCACAGCAGTTTTTTTTATGAACATACTGTAAAAAAAAAGTAAATGCAGCAAAGGCCTGATTCATACCTGTTTTTAATTTCATGTGCTCAGCTTTTGCTTGCTTGTGCCAAATGGGTGAAGCTTGAGAAACTACATTTCCCAAGATATTCACCACCGTGCCAGTACTCAGTGCTTTAACACCAACTCTTTATAATGATGTAAGATAAGAGGATAAACTGTATAACATTTTGGAGCTTTATTATAAATACTTAACATATTTCTTCTTAGCAATAAATCTTTTACTTTAAATGGTGCCACATTTAAAAGGAAAAAATGTGAAAACTTGCCATGAAATGGCAAACAGATTGTTCAGCAATTTCCTCCTTTTTTTTTTTTTTTTTAAATTGGACTGGTTGATTGAAGTCAGAAGACACACTATTAAACTATAATTCATGTGGAAGAACCATACGCAGCCACAAACGCCTTCTCCTCAAGCTGCTCATCACTATGGTCACACGCTGCTGCGTCTTTAACCAGCATTTGTTGCAAGTTCGTCGTGTTTGCTTTAGTTAATGTGGAGAAACCAGCACGCCCAAGCGGATCCCACAGGTGTTATGGGGTTGAAGTCAGGACTGCAAACAGTCCATCCTCCCCACTCCCTAATTCTGAATGTAGTCTCTGATAGACTCCACTCTTTGGGGTTGAGAGCTGCCAAATTGAACAGAGTTTGGTTCCAGACTGTGCATATGAGAGTACCACTGTTTGTTCACTCATTTAGTCATAATCCCATTGTTGTGCATGTGGACATTTCTTTGAGCTTTAGCTAATTTGGTCCATCTACAATGTGCTACTTAAGGTCATAGCATAATTGCCCATTGAGAAACACATTTTGCTGTTTGAGCTGCATGCTTCTTCTACAGAACTGACTAAAATTGTTAACAGAATAGTAATAAGGATGTTTCAATGTTTAAGCTTTGCCAACCTTATGGCTGCTGTGGGGTCATTCCCAAACCTGTGGCTGAAATGCATCTAAAGTTTGCTGTTTTTGATCAGTTCAACACCTCATGCGACATGATGAAAGCAGTTCCCTCAGACTAAAGCCTGTGATGCTTTTTAACAAATTGTTGGTTGAATTATGGACTTTTGAAGATCCGTGTATTTTTAATTCATGTCATTATGACAATCAGGGTTTTCCTCATCTGTAAACGATGTGCTCTGAGCAACAGGCATGCATCTGTGGGATTATATTGCCTTGCTTATTGTGATCTGCTGGCAGACAGCAAGTCAAAATAGCTTTTTCACGAGATTGTGAAAACACTCCTTCACAATACAACTATTGGGCTTCAAAGTTGCACAAAAACATTACTGTGTAGATGTTAAAAACTAATGTTATCGAAGAGACTTGAGTCAAGATGTATTAATTAAATCAGCTGCAGATGAGAAAAATATGTATTTTATGCTTTGCATGAAAACGGATGTTAATTCCATCAGATTACCTTTTTAGATGTTTACATTTAAAGTTGCACAAGAGTCAGTGAGATTTTAACAGCGAGACTCGTTTAATCCAAGAGCTGCCTGTTTGGGACATTCGTCAAGCCATAAATGCTTCCACGAGCCTTTGAAGTCATCTCACTTCACTTGGCAATCCCGTGCTGTGAGGTTCTTAGAGAGCAAAATCCACAAAAATTACCACCTTGACGATCAACTTGGATAGCCTGCAATCACCTCCTTCCTGCTCTTCAGCTCAAAGCAGCAGCTGAGATGTTCTGTCTTAAAACAAACAGCGCCTGTCTCGAGTCACAGCTATTGTCTCAGTGAAATCGTCCTCCCGCTCTGTTGGATTGTCTTGATTTGATGAGTCAGCCTTTTGTGATGTGACTGAGGCGTTTGTCGTCCTAATGGGATATGAAGTTGGTTAATGAGATACTGCTGGGCTACGGTTTATGAGACTTGTAGACTACATGTTATATTTTACTGTATATAAGTTAAACGTACCCAAGAGTTTCACGTATTATACTAAGGATGCACAACAGGTTGAACATTAATCAGTATCAGTGTGTACAATATCACAAAAAGTTTCCAAGAAATACAGACTTCAAGCTAAAAATGCTATTTTAGCAATCAGCTGAACTCTAAATTCCCGCATCAGGCACACTGAGATAGTTGATTTTTAAGTATAACAAAAAAACAACAAAGTCCATGCTCAATAATCCAGGTATACAATTTTTCAGTCAGGTCATCAGGACAATTTCTTTTTTTTGTGCTGAAACGTTTCGCCTTCGGTCCGGAAGGCTTCATCAGTCAAGGAAACACACAACAAAACTGATCATTCCCCCAACAGCTTACTCCCAAGTGGAACAAACCAGTTCTGCTTGTGATAAGATGGTCTCTTTGGTATGCCCCCTCCTCCATTGCCGGCCCTCTTCCTTGTTGACAGTCTACATAATAATTTATAAAAATAATAGTAATTAGTAATTATTGTCAAATTTAACAAGAAATGTTTATTTATTTTGAGTGTAGTACCTTTTTTCGACCACCGGATGGCAGTACAAGACAGTTTGGACCGAAGGATGGATAGTGAGGGAGCGAGCAGTGTGTCTTTTAAAGAAAAATGGGAGGGAGGCCCCTTGACGTGACATGGGCTGTCTTTATTAGTTTCTCAAAATGACGGACGCTCGGTGTGGTTTGAGCTCTTTAGCATAGCATTTTTCACACAAAGCTTTTAATTAAAAAAAATCAGTAAACAAGTTCTCAGCTTCTTTTTGCAGAGAAAAACAACTTTTTACACAAAGCGGGTTTCAACCTGGAGCTTCGACAAGACGGAGGCCTGTTAGCTTAGCTCGTAGCTTAGCTTCTCAGCTTAGCCGCTTTTAATGATCCAAAAATGTGATCTTGGATGGTTAAAACAGATTTTAAAGAGAAACGAGAAAGGGAGGGGTCAGTGAAGAACACTGGAGTTGAGCCTTTTGTCATCCAGTGTCTTCAGTAGAGAGAGAGAGACAAAGAAATGATAAAGCCGATAGATGAAAATGAGGTCGATAATTTTCATTTATCATGCGATTAACTGATTTATTGTTTATTACGACTGGTCTATTGTTAATTTGCATTAAATGCATTCTTTAACTTTTTCAGAGCTCTAAAGATTTTTCCTTTAGTTTCTCTGTGTTGTAGACAGACTAAAGCCTTGAGATTCCTGCAACCCCTAAAGTTTAATTGGGTCTAAATTGCTCTTTGTTCCCCCAGAAGAGACCTCTATGTACAACTTGTTCAGAAAGTTCTGCTAATTGGGAGCCGGTGCATAAAATGCCTAATGAACTTAATCACATCACTTCAACTCTTTGGCAGTGACATCATCACAAAAAGAGACCAGTGGCCTTTTACAAACGCTACAGTATTTCCCCTCAAAGCTTTCAGGGAAACTTATTTAGAAAATAAAAATGAAGCAGTTTGATATATTTATCTGGGCTGGATATCATTTAAAGTACAAAGCTCTTCAGGGTCCTTGTAGTGGCCGTCTCTTCCCCCAGCGCTTTACTCCTCCGTGAACGTCTCCGCTGCAACATTTGGTGAGCTTGTTCGGCTGTTGGTAGTGATATTCACAGTGACAGCCACGAGGCTAAAGGTTTACCACTTCACCATTTTATTGCCTTCTGAAAACAAGAGAAGAAATACATTGGCCAGATGGTTCGCTTTAATTGTGTGAATGTTTATGAAGCATTCACACTATTGTGATCCATTTATCTTCTGTACATTTTTCTGCAGCTTTCTTGTTCCATGAGTTTTGTGCTATTTCAACAAATCATTTATCAAATCGTTCAGCTCGTTCAGAAGGGTGTTATGACGTTTGGTATCGGTGCAACTTTAGCTTTTTTGAAATATTTAGCCTTTTCTGCCATTTTTTCCTCATATAAAATGAATTGAGCGCATTTTACATCCTTCAGATCTTTAGATCTGTTTACAACCTTTTTCTGCTCCTTTCAAACTTTGTTCTGGTTCAGCTTCTTTCAGCTTCCTTGTGCAAATTTAAACTTTTTTCAGCTACTTTCAGCTAATTAACATCTTTATGCTAATCTCAGCTTGTTATCATCCTTTCAGCCTTTTTGATCCTTCAGCTGCTATTTAGACTGATGCTAATTTTAGCTTTTTCAGCTAATTCCACTTTTTTAGGCCATTTCAGCCCTTTCCACTTCCTTCTGGTAATTTAAGCTTCTGTCTGCCTTTTCAGCCACTTTTCAGCAATTATTTGCTAATTTCAGCCTTTTATTTTTTTGCTAATTTCCTAATTTTTGTGCTCATTTTTGCTTAACCTAATTCAGCAAATATGTGTTATTTCTGCTTTCTTCTGCTATTTTAGGCTTGTTCTTCCATTTCGGCTTCATTTCGGCTATACATTTCTGAATGCTTTTTTAATAGCAAATTTCAGCTGTTTTTCAGCAAGTTCTTCAGCAATAAGCATTCACACTGCATTTTCGCAGGAAATCCAATTTCTCCAGTTTGCATGTGCAACAATTACTAAAGAGTTTTATTTAAAACTTAAATATGTGTTTGGGATTTGTTGACTGGCTGAAGCTTAAACATATCAGATAAAATGACTGCTTGACTGTAAAGCTTATTTAGAAGAAAATCAACTTGATAAACTTTTGGGATTTGACTAGTTGCATGGGAGCGAACAGCCTTGTGACCCACTTTAAGCTCTCAACCCACTGATTGAGATACACTATCTGGATGGGGCTATTTAAAGATTGAGGATGGGGCACCCTGTTTCTGTTGGCCCTCTGAAAGAACATGGGCACAATGCTGGTTTCATAAAACCAACAGCTTCAGTATTTCTCATTTATAGGCCTGCAGCTTTGTAAGGATCCAAAAT